CAGATGAATTTGCTAAAATATCGACAAGAGCAAGGTTATTTTAACAAAGGCGTTCAATATTTTTACTGAATTGTTTGCAATTAGGTTATTTTTATTTTACTACTATTTCAAACTGAAAAATAAATTAATGACCTAGGTTTGGGCTTAGAATTCATATCGGGTTTGTTATAAAAAGCCACTAACTAACCCTTTCTCAAGATACGTGTATAAATCTGCCAAGTGTCGGCTCATTGGTTCGTGGGATATATCATTTACCGGAACTTTTTTTTACGACAAATTAAACGAATGCCAAAAAGTGGCTTGATGACCAGGCTCTCTACTAGGAGAAGAAGTCATATGCGAAACGAAGAGTATGAGAGCCCTGTGCGCTTTTACAAGACACATTGAGATAGCTGACACTTTGAATTTTTTAAAGGAACATCGCAAAAAAATATTGTAAATTATTTTAAATGGCCAAGTACTAGCCTTAGTGAATAGATAAGAGTCGTTTTGATATTTTTCGGAAGAATTGAAATACTGTATTTATATTTGTTGTGTCTTATGGAAACTACTATTAGTTTCAATAACAGCAAAACCGAAAATAGCGTAGTTATGAAATTTTCGAAATTTTTGAATTATATTATAAGAGACATCTTCGAAATCTGGTAACGGTACTAATAACATTTCTTAAAAACTTTTCGGTTATAATGCGTACTATTTTTATTGGAGATCTAAAGAGTAAGTAACAAAAACAAAATACTTAAGTAAATAACTTTAAATTAAAAATTTTATTAAATGTGTATAGTTAATTCTAAAAGTACTAATACAGACATTTATACTGCTTCACTCTCTTGTGCTGTGCCACGAACAAGCCACAGTATACACCAATTCACTTGCACCTAGGCAATTAACCATTACTAAGCTATGTAATACCCTCTCTACTTAAGCGTCTACTTGTAACAGCATTTTTTGCATGTACTGTGCTCAGGTGTGAGTGTGTCTGCGAAAATTAAAAAGTAAAAATTATATGAAAAGTTTATAATGAAGCTTAAATGCAAATAGTCATAAATCATCTGTGAAATGTGATATGATATCGGCCAACTGCAGGCAGTGCAACAACCACGATATATGTACGCGTGCATGTGCTTGTGTGCAGCGTATGCCGGTTGCAAGCCGCGAAACATGCTGCCAGCACTTTTCCGTCGATTTTCGCCTGACGCTTGGCCGCTGTGGGCTAACGTTGGCAGATTTTGCTGCTCGCGGCTGGGAACACTGACTCTGCAGAGCGCCTAGCTGTTATGCATGGTATTGTACCACAGTTGACTGTAATTATTTTCAACAAAAATTCGCTTCACATGAAACAAGCAAATTTCGACGCCAAACAACAAATTTTCAACAATACAGTTAGGCAATTTCGGAAATAGCCAGCATTCATACAGTTATACGTATGTACACATATGCAGACATATGTAAATATATTTGAAGAAATAAAACAGTGGAGATACCTTTAAAAAAAATGTAAAAAAAATGTAAAAAAATTGCTATAAATAACACTAGTTTACAGTCATTTTGCGACAGTGGTGTTAGAGGGTGCTTTTTGCTAATTTTGCGTTGCTAAAACCGAAAATTATAGTAAAAATTTCATAACACCTAGCATGTTTTGTGTTGTAGTCAAGAGGTGCAGGGGTCAAACCACCACCATAACTTTTTGAACTGAAATTCGTAATCAGTACACCTCAAATACCAACACAGACCGCTTAGCACAACAGTCGCAAATTTTTGCTTCAGATTTGTTGTGTAGTGTAATCAGCGATATTCTATCTCTGCGCCGTGTATTTAAATTTATGGAAATAATCTCATATTCCAATTGCGCCATTGAATATCTCATTTAGTTTTAATTGCCTCATTGCCACTTCTCGTATGACGTTGCATGTTGTTATTGCACACAAAAAGTGTATTTAGCTTTGCAGTAGTCGGGATCGGGCAAAAGTGCTAAGAATGTCGCCAATAATTTATCTCGCCACTTGATCGCACTTGAAAAGAGGTGTTGAAAATTAATTTATTGCCAACGAAGATATTGAGTTCCACCTTGCCGTGCAAGTACGAAGTATGTGAATGTCTGTCTGTTTATTTCGGCTACTTGCTAGTCTTTCACTGTCTGCTGGACGATTGCTTCCTTTTATTTCCACTTTTTCTTTTAGCTTATATTTATATGATCTTGTTGCTAGCTAAATATTTAGAACTTGCCAGTCTATTTTAGTACAAGCCAGCGCTTTGATATTTTCCAATTTTATCAGTTTGGTTTACATTTCGATTCAAGTGGTATAGTTTTAATCAAAAATACGAAAGAACTACAATAGATAATATTTAAGATTGGATGAAAGGCGAAAAATTAGTACAGTGTGACATGAAGAAAGTAGTGGAATACCAGATATGCGGAATAAAACAATAATATGAAAGTTTGTATATATTATTTATAATTACTTTAGTCGATGTTTTCGCGATCATATTGGCAAGATTCTGGCATCCCCTAATTATTATCGATAATTAGATGGTAATTGTGTAGCAAAAATTTTATTGATGATTATGTCAATATATAATTTTTTAAGCTACAAGAGCTACTTTCGCTTACAAGCAATCTTTTAAATTAAAATCATTGACATGATAATACTGTTATAAATTTCTGAATTATTTGATATCGATAATATAATTTAATATTTTCTTAAAATTTTTAGCGATTTTTACTATCATTTAAACTATATCTATTTTAAACTTCTTTTATAAAAACTGCGTAAGCGCTCAATGCGGACAAACATTAAGATATTTTGGGACTTACAACTCTATATGCCATTTAAAGCCGCATACCGATCCATTTTCTCAACAAAGTCATAATTGTTCATACATAGGTGTGAAAGTACTTCAAATGGGTCTTTTTTGAAAGGTAAATATTTTTATAATATTTCTATTGCCAGACGGTAAGAATTATACAAATATGGTAAGTACATATTTATCTATCTATTACATAAAATTAGAATACATAACAATAGGCAATTTTGACACTTACCGAAATTGTGTCAAATTTGCGTTGACGCTATGACAACCAATGTTATTGTCCGTCATTATTTGCCTTTTTCAGCTGCTAACCTTTGTTTGCTTAAATACGGAAAAGTAACTGCTTGTAAGTGCTACTTCAGCATACAGGGTGTATCATGTTTTGCGTCGGAATGTAAATGAATAAATGTCAAAGTTAGTTTGACTTTGACTTACGATTTGCCGTTAGTAGAAGTATTTGACAAAGCATTTTGAACGACGATTTGTATTTGTTTTTATATAAAGTGCAATTTATGTTAATAATATTACCGATCGCCCACCAAGCTCTTTTCAAAAACGGACAAATAGGCTGTTTGCCTGAGCTAAAGTCTTATTTCTGGAAACAAAACCTGAGCAACATTAGCACCACTATTTCTGCAATCACATTTTCTGTTGCTCTTAATAAGTAAAAATGAGTCATTTGAGGAACAAAATATCCATTCAAGACCATGAAATAGCGAAGCCATCATTGGGCCATATATTTTTCAATTAAAATTGAAGCAGTCAATGGAAATATATATCGATGAATGTTGAATGCTATCAATCTGCGAATCACTAACGTGCTCATTATGAACGTTCGTGCCGAAAGCATTGCTATATCGCTCGAGGAGCTCGCAAAAGTAAGACAAAACATAGAAATAGTAGCACAATTTGTTGTGGTCAATAATACCCTAAAAAGCTGGTAAAGGGCCAAACTAAGAAAAAAAATGAATAAACACTATGGTGGTTTTCTAAGATAAGAGAAAAGTAACTGAAATATGTAATTAGCAGGGTGTTTTCTTAAAGTTGTTGCATATGCACATACCGGCATGAAATGTAAGGCACCCTGTATAATAGCTACATTATATCTTTACACATGTGTTCAATTTTAACAATTATTCTCTTTAAATTTTCAAAACAGTTTCTTAATTAATTGCAGGTCGTCCTTGATTTCATTGAAAGTTATTGCGCAAATTTTCTTAAATCACTAAAATATTCAAAATATGTTTTTTGTTTTGAGACTGTTGTTTACATTCGATTTTCATTCTGTTTTTATTTAATTATTTTGCTGGCCATATTATTTATTGTAGCATAAATGTGCGAGTTTCTATTTCTCTTTCATTATGCCTTCGTTTATTTATTTAATTGATTTTATTTGCTTAAAACAAAAACCCACAAAAATGCTGTGCAACAATGTGCTACATTTGTCTTGTTGCACGTGAAGTCATAAATATAGATACATGTGAGGCTATTACAATGCAATATTTTGCTGCGATATGAAATAAATAAATTTTTACCTTATATTTTAAATAAATTTTTCGCAAAAATTCATAAACAAAATCAATGAACAACAAATAAATACACAAATAAAAGAATTTACAAGAACATTCATAAATTTAAATGCGAACATTTTTGGTTAGGTTTTAAAAAAAAATTTTGAATATCATGCTCCGAGTTGATTTACTAAACAAAAACATAAATTAATTCTTTGCCTCAAGTTGACGTTGCAAACAATAAGAATTGCAACAAAAGTGGCTTCAAGTAGAGACAGAATTTCAGTTAATTTTTATACCCTGAACAGGGTATATTGAATTTGCCACGAAGTTTGTAACTATACTATATCATATAGCTGAACGATCGGAATAAAGTGCTTGCATGGAAAACAGTTTTATTTGACGAGGTATCTTCACAACATTAGATCGGAATCAAGTTATTGTAAGGAACCTTTGTATTTGTTAAGGGTATTATAGCTTCGCTGCAACCGGTTAACCGAAGTTAACGTTTTTTCTTGTTTTCTTTTTAACTGGCAAAACTATGTTTGATGCACATATGAAATACGTATTTACACATACTAAGGTATATATAAAAGTACATACTTGTGTATGTTAATATATAAAAAAATACATAACAAAAGTATCTATAATATAATATTATATATAGTAAGTAGCATCTATAATATTTCAAGCTTTTCTTTATAAACTTGAATGAAACTTCAGCGCAATATTTGCACAGCTTTTTCTTTATGCGGCAGCAAAAAGACTAAAGCAAAGTAAATGTACTTGGACATAATACAAATTTAAACAAAGCTTTCTTATAAGTTGTCAATAAACAAGTGTCAACGAATGAAGTACAAATGTACATAATGATAAGTGAACAAATTTAATACTTTAACTGGCTTTTAAATTGCAAAATGTTCCATTACAAGCAATAACTAAACTCAGCGTAAGAGAAAACATACAAACATTGAAATTAACAATTGTTTAACTAGCGACTGTTTTTTTGGCATATCGAAATTAAAGCAACATAGCGGTAATTATAATTTAGCCACCAATTTGTCACGTTTTATTGCTTATGCTTTCTATCCGAGCAGCAGACTTAAATATGCAAGTAACATAAGTGTATTATATAATAAAATTTATATTGTAAAAGCGTGCTCCGCTCGTTAAAAATAGTGCGAAAAAGCGGAGAAAGAAGTAATACGCAAGCGACTCAGTGCGCTCGTAGTAAACAGTAAATACGCGCTTGAACGCCGTTCATTCAGCGTTTCATTCATTTAAAGCGGCACAGCAACTGTTTACACACGTCACTAAGTACAGTAATGTTTTGCGCTCTCTTCAAGGTCTAGATAATGTAGTGACGCACTGTCGCAATCGCCAGGTGATTGTCCTCTTACGGTTGCTCACTCGAAGCTCTTATTACAGCAAACATGTTAAATGCAATATGAGGCGTTCTTTTTATAAATGAGTCATTTAGGAAACTTTTAATTCATGAATTTAATATTATTGCACTAATATTGCTCATGACAAGGTTGTGTCGTCATGTCATGTTAGATAATAAATAATACTTGAAAAATAAAATTTCTCATCATTTTCTAAAATGCAAACATTTGTTCGTATTTCAATATCTTGGTATATACGAGTCGAGCTGAAAAGTTCGTAGCGTTTCTGGGAGAGGACGCCGCATTGATTCGCATGGTTTGTAGTTAGATCTACAGTGAAGATCTTCCTTAAACATAATATTCTATGCCGTTTTGTCACAAATAATCTGCTATACTTGCAGATCTATCAATATTTTGCCCTAATGCTTCTAAAATTGATGGTGTCAAAATCCAAGTTTCACTAGGCTCCAGACCTCGCATTTCGATGGTCGAAGAAACTCCTTGATCGAAAACTACCTAATCCCTTAACCCTTCAATGGTAAATTGCGGTACATCATACCTCGGCGTCTAATATTTTAAAAATTGTGCTTATACTTTCAAAGTTAACGTAGTTATAGTTTTAATTAAAAAATATAATTTATATTAAAAAATATATAACGAATTCATTATAAATACTTTATGTTTCCAAATCAAAAACAATATTTATTAATTAACATACATTTTTTGTTATAATAACTATACTTCTATAATATAATAATAAAATATCAAACTATAATATATTTAAATAATATATCGAACTATAATATAAATAAAATTTTTAAATATTATCGCTTAAACAAACTGTAGTCTTTGGAATGAGCACATTGGTATTTTGTTATGATTATCAATTAATAAAGTTCAGTTAACTACTACTCAACTTATTGCTACATGAATCGAACACTCCTTTTCAACTAATGATTTACATTGCAGTGATTGTAGTGATCGCGTTGCCAATCTGTAAATAAACTCGAACGCAAATGCATACCGCCGAAACACAATTAGTCATCATAACGCGCGTAGCCGTGCACAAAAGAGAGTGAGAAGGGGAGGAGAAAATAAAAAATATAGAGTATGGCGCTTGAAAGCTATGTATGCAAGTAACTCACCGCTGCCGGTTAGGCAATTCTCCCGCAGCATATCACAGTGGCTGTAGAAGAACTGATGATCACCGTTATACGAAGCGCAAATCGCTTTGAATGCGTCGCAGCCATCTAGAGCGCCTGCGCACGGATGACTGCCGAAGATGGTCAGAGCGATGAGCACCATTAGCAGCAGCAACACAATAACACCGACTATTAGCCAAATGGCGAGGCGACACCAAGGCGCTTTGCACGGCGCGAACATTGACACGCCGTTGGAGCTGATTAGAACACTGAGACGATAGCGCGCAGTCCAAAAATAGCGTAAAGTAGTGTGGTGTTCCCAACACCTCGATTCTGAGACTTATTTTTTTATTCTACGAAAACGTTATCTAAGCACTAAGCCATTGAACTAGGCTAACCGTTTGACAAGCGCGCGTGAGCTTGAAACGCACACGAGTGTAGCGCGCACCAAGCATAGCTGAGCTGAACTGAACCAAACTGAAGCGTAATGTTATGAAATGTACTGAGCTTAGCTGCGCTAGCGTCGCAAGCGTCGTGCGTTCGCCGTTGACTGTGAGTCAAACGCTTGGCCTACAAGCGCGTAGCGGCATGCTGAGGGAGCGTATTGCGCGGCGTCCCTAAAGCTACTCAAAGTCACTGCTACGAATTTTCGCTAAACTTATTTACGCTCTTACTTTTGTTGTTGTTCGGCTCTATTAGCAGCACTTAAATATTTAAATTTTCCACAGTTACGCTGCTAATTTATCGACCGCTTTTCATGCACTCGCTGAATTAGAAATTTGTTTAAACACGTTGAAAAAAACAGCACTTAATGGAATCTGTTGGGCACTGGCTCTGCTTAAGCATGCAAATAAGCACCTTTTGTTGTGTTGATAAACAATTGTCAGTCACAATCAGTTGCTGTCGTATTTGTTGTTGCACTTATTACTCGCCTTATTTGTGAGAATGTTGCAATTTCGTTGTACTAGCTCTATTCCGCCTACCAACAATTGCTCGCCTTGTCGAGTCTGTCTATTTGCTCGCCTCTTTTGCATTTACTATTATGAACTACTTAGCAATTTTTTAGTACGGCTTTTTTTAATACGGACAATTTTATAGGTTTTTATACAGTTAGTCAAGCTCATCACTGTTGCACCGCTGCACTCATTCTACTTCCGCAAACGACTGTCAGACGTGCACTCACCGCCGTCATAGCGCAAGGTATCTAGTATCTGTGTGCAAAGTTACCCACCTTCACTAGCGGTATATTTAGTTATAACCGACAACAATGAGCTTGCATCATAATCACTCAGAACTTAAACAGCCACGCCACGGCACAGTGTTACGTGGTAGTCTAAAAATCACGTAATCTTAAAATGTTAAAAAAAAATGTTGCTACACACCTTAGAAATTCTAACTTTATAAAAAACTTTGACACACTTTTCCATTTATTAACCCCAGAAAATTAAAATTTGCATTTTTTAAAAGCTTCAAAAATATTAAAATTTTATATGTTTATATAAAAACTATGTAGTTCTTGAAACAGCAATTACATTATATATATAAACCATAGCAAGACGCAAGCAAGCTTACTATATAGTACTGCACCGAGTGTCAGATTTATCAGCAATTCTAATTAGATAGAGAAAGTTATGTATCGCAGAGCTGTGAAATGTGCAGCAATACGTTTGCACCGAAGCACGAATAGCCTTCATAAATACAAAAAGGTTCCTTACATTTCGATCGTTCAGTTTGTATGACAGCTATATGCTATAGCGATCCAATCTGAACAATTTCTTTGTAGATTGTACCATTGCCTTAGAATGGGTTATTGCTAAATTTCGTGAAGATATCTCAACAAATGAAAAAGTTTTCCACACTTGATTGTGATAGTTCAGTTGTAGGGCGGCTATAGTGCTATAGTGGTCCGATATCCGCGGTTTCAGCAAATGAGCAGCTACTTTGGAAGAAATCTAGATGTGCGAAATTTCAGATCGATATCTCAAAAACTGAAAGACTAGTTCGCGTTTATACAGACAGAGGGATGAACGAACAGACAGATGGACATGGCTGACTTGACTTAGCTCATCATGCTGATCGTTATATATATAATATATATATATTTTTTTTGTGGGATCTCCAGCGTTTCCTTCTAGGTGTTACAATCTTCGTGGCAAATTTAATATTATATAAAATATTCGGAACTATAATAAAACGAGTAGTTTCGAAGCGACGAAAAAGTAAGACCAACTTGTTATAAGATATCTTATGCCGATTTTCCTTGAGTACAAAAACATTAGTTTTTTTTATAGTTCCCCGATTGAGTTTGTTATTTTATTGTATTTTAAAACTTGGATATTATTGAAAATAAAAATTCTACTGTCATATATATTCATCTCATTAAAATTAAATGGTTTTTCATTGAAAGTGAACTTTACATTGAAGTATTTTTTTAATAAATTTTCTAGCAATTTTCAATAGCTTTGGTTCACTGTGCAACCATTTTAGCGCATTATGCGCCACTTGTTGCCAGCATACACGCACATTGTGATTTGATGACGGCATAGCGGAGCAAACATATTCAACGTGCAACAGAATTTCCAAAGAACCAAGTATGAATGTGTGTAGGTTTGTAGATACATATACACAAACACACACAATAGCTGGTATATTTGCTGTTTGAGTGCAGCGCTGCCGGTGCCATGGCAACCGGAAAACACCAGCAATTGTTGTCATTAATTGTGCAGTGTTTTAGGTGAATGGCTGCGGTTGAAATTCCATACAATTCGGGCGATGCCAAATGGGCAAGTGGTGGGAATTATATTACATGTTGCTGCCACAAGCCATCAACTAACATTCGCTGCCAGCCACAGATACGCGCTGCTCAAATGGGTGCACTTCGCTTCCAAGTTTTCGGTGTGACGTGCGGCGGTGGGGTGACAGGGGAGTGTAGTTTTATTTTCCGTTGTATTTAGTTATTTACCTTTTGGGCTTTTTTTTCAGCTGCGATGTTTTGCTTTTGTATTTCGTACTTCACTTCCCGTCGACAATTACAGTTTTTGAAGCTTTTTGTGTGCGCAGCTTTATTCTGGGCTGCTTCGCCGGCTTTATTATTATTATTATTTAAAAATCTTGTTGTTGTTGTGCCTTCTTTTCACTCGCCTCATTGTCATTAAAGCTGTGCTGTTGTTGTTAGTGTTCTTATTACAGCATGTTGTTGTTGTAATTGGGCGTTCAACACGATGTTCAGCAAAGTGGAACTATGGAACTGTTGTTCGAGTTTTCATGCAATATCGTCACGCCAACAAACACATGGGTACATACATACACTAATTTATAAATATTCATATAACAAGTATTTGGGCGTGTATGCCTTCAGATATAATATGTATTTACATACTCGTATATATTTATTTTATATATAACCAACATTGCATATGTTTGCACTTGCTTCTCGAGTGTATCTCAAAGCAGATCCATATGCATTTTAAACTAATTATGGACATTTAGATGCTAATAAATATATATATAAATGCCCATTAGGGTGACTCTTTAAAAATTATAACTTCATATAACTTATCAAACTTAACGATATTACCATACTGGTTTAATATTCCTTAAGGAGGTATTTCGAAACGGAATCGAAATGTCTAGATACCTTTTACTATATATTGTCGCTAGTTTCTACAAAGCTGGGGGTTAAAGTTTAATAAATTCATCGTAAAACAACTCTCACTATCTTTAGGGACTACCCTAATGCACTCAGCTGAAACGACTTCATTGTATTCATCTCCGCAGTCATGTGAGTCTAATATTTCTAGGCTTATTGCTAAATAAGTAGCAGTATTATTCTGCTGTTGTTGTTTTTGTCTTGGAAATTATATGGATTTTTATGTTTGTCGTTCGTAATTTACGAAAATTCTCAAACTTGTTAATTATTTTATTTCTGGTTCATACGTTTTTGTGAATTAATTTCGAAATTTGCATATTCCATTTTTGGCTTCGAAACTGTGTTTATAATAAAGTGGGCCATAGCTAGGGAAGTTAGGAACTAATTTGCACTTATGGTCCTAAGTATGGTACATTTCACAGAACCTTCTCTTGATGGTTTCTTTCAGCTCACACACCTGCGTGGGACTTGTGGGCGGGGCGAAGCCGTTGGAGAAGGGGTACAGTGAGCTTTTCCACGGATGGACCGAAGTTAAGAGCGAGATGAAATGGTAAAGTCTTCTGTCGGGAGCTCTCAATCAATTCTAGTTTCGTACTATCAGATCACTGTAGCGTATTTCAAGCAAAAGTGGCTACCATTGAGGTAGCAGTAGATGTGCTGTGCCACTTCCTTCAGAGAGCTGTACATTCACCACAATAGCCGAGCAGCTATAATGGCTTTGAGCTCGCTGACTGTGCGCTCAAAACTAGACAATGAGTGCATGACCTCATTAGCGAGAGTGGAATCGCCGGAAACTGCAGAGCCTTGCTAGGGAAGGCACCCTCTCCCCAATTTCATCCGATTGGAAGCGAGTCGGTGTTCCAAATTTTTCTTGCGTTCTGGAGTTGGATCTCTGGACCTCCAGTGAGCTCAGCATGCGCTGGTCAACAACCAAAACTTGTGCGACTGCGAGATCGTTCTAGATGAACCGTAAGAGGTCTTCCGAACTCATGGCTCTTAGCACAATTGTAGATTTTCTGACTGGACACGGTCCAATAGATTCACACGCGGTGCGGCTACATATTCTGTCGGACGCTCTTTGTCAATGCTGTATGAAGGATGGCGAGGTGGAATCATATTGTCAACTGAGATTGCAATATCTCGGTAGACACACCTTTGGCGAACCTAGCGAAGTTGCTGGAATAGATAGAAACCGCCTTACTAAATTTGTGGTAAGCTCAAATAACCGATTGCCGAGATTAGTAAATATACAAAAGTTCTTTGAAAATTAAAAAAAATAAAACCAATTTTTTTCAAACCCCAAAAACTTACTACATCAGTTGATCTTCCTACATAAAGTAAAGTTATTTGAAATATCCGCAGCTAGGCAAATACGTGTATTCCGATATGCGCACATGCGCAGTATAACAAGGCAAAGATATGCCAGCAATTTGCCAAGCAAATCAACGCACTTGTGGGCAACGCAGCGCATCTGTGACGGCATCCGCATAATCAGCAGACACAATTGCTACATGCGCAGTAATCATTTATTGAATGTCGCTTAAGATAAGATTGTCGCGCTCAGCGGCAAGGCGGCACAAGCAGCGCGCATGCACCGGCACAGACTGGCAGCCAGCCAGCTGACGCACCTAGAAAGGCGCACACGCAAAAACTTCGACAAACAACCAAAGCTGAGGCACAGGAGTTGCAGGTTCCACGTTTTTATGTGCCTACTCTGTGTTTTGTACGCATGTGTGTATATGCAACTTTGTTGCTTTATTCCTTGCTTCGGATTGATGTTTTCATTTTCACTTCGCGCTAACAAATGTGTCGCATTTAAAATGCAAATGCGTTGGCTACAAAAACTGGCAAGTTTCAGACCAGTTCACTGGTGTTGCGCGCATGCGACGACGCGGAGGAGGAGAGCAGTGTACACTTTATATGTACATACATCCTCACGTAGACGCGCACTGCAAGCCATCTGCAGCGCCAAAGCGCCAATGTCGGTACACTGTTGAGTTGACCACGGGGCATTAGCCATTTTGTGGGGATTATCTGTTGCTTTGTTGCCCAACTCGTTCCGCGGCACCGGCTTATCAGTTCCGAACGGTTGCAATTGGTGTGCGCGATATCGTCGTCCATTCATATGGCCGCCGCATCACATTGATTTAGCTTGTGTATGTGTTGTGTCGGCGGTGGCGACGGCTGGCGGCAACTTGCGGCTGCCACGCAAGCTCATGTGACATTTTATGAGCTGCAAAATGCGAAAAAAGAAAAAGTGAAAACTCGTCGACATATCGGTGCAACAAATCGGCATAAGACGACGAGCATATACATTTAAAGGTATTTGCTTTTGTTGTTGCTGGTGCCCTTGGCCGCCGATGGACAATGTGTGATATTATTATTGCATTAATGAGGCTCAAGACGATATGAAATTGCAGCTCAAAAGATTAAATGCCGTTGATAGTGCAAGCAATGTTGCAACATCATGGCGACAAGCCGCATTGGCTATGGCATTGTTGCATCGTTGGCAACACTTTGTGCGACTTGTTAACATTTTTGTTTGTAATATGGTGGTGGTAAAAATCAAACACGACTGCAGCAATCCAAATCGTAACGCATGTGATTTGATCGACAATAAGCCAACTTTTATTGCAATAACTTCACAAAGCCC